TAAACATTTTTAAGGAAATGTAAAAACTTGAAATTCTTTTGACTAGTCTAGATTTTCTGATAAAGATAACTATTTAGGCCGGGCCCAGTGACTCATGCCTGTAATCCTAGGACTTTGGGAGGCTGAGATGGGAAGATCGCCGCTTGAGACCAGGACTTTGAGACCAGCCTGGCAATATCTTGAACTTCTGAGATCCCATCTTGAACTTCTGAGCTGAACGAGATCCCATCTTGAACTTCTGAGCTGAAGCCATTTGCCTGCCTCAGCCTCCCAAAGTGCTGGAATTATGGGCATGAGCCACCACGCCTGGCCCAAGAGACCCTATCTCTGCCAAACAAACAAACAGAAAAGATAATAAAATTTATTGTTTGCAGTGATTTTGTGTGTGTATGTGTGTAGGTGTGTAATACATAAAATGGCAAATGAGAAGAAAGTGTTTGGGTCATATTAAACAATGAAGTTGTGAAATACCTGAGATTTTGTTTCATAACCACTAATCTTCAATGCTGAGGATTTAAAATGTATTTGTTCTAGTTTTTTTCTCTGTAATGCCTTAGACATCTGTGCAGATTTTCATTCCCATGTAAGAAGCAGTAACAGTCTAATGTCATCCTGGACATTTCCAGAAATTGGTTTCCTAGTTGCTCTGAGGAAGACTGCCTTTTAAAAGAAAGTTCTGATCTTTTCTTTACCAGTTCTACTTGACCCGAATTTGACATTTCTTCAAGAGACAAGTAAATCAAGATCATATGTCTGTGACATGTATTGCGTATGTTAGCTGCATCTGACAGCAGTCTATAAAAAGAAAGATGGTAACATGTTTATTTTAGACATTAGGTAATGTTCATCTTTCATGAAAAAAATTGATTAGCCAATTTTGGTAATCAAAAACACTAAATGGGAGTAAAAAAAAGGCAGTCATTGGAAAGTACTGCTGTATGGACTTGTGAAACAACTAGTTGTCCAGAGCCTTGCTACAACGTATAGAAATACTCTATTTTCTGTGCTTCAGGCGGTTGCATTACAAGATGAAGAAGGGGAAATGTTTTCCACCTCATCCCTCAGGTCCTACTGCAACATAACTTTCTTGAGGTAAGTACCTTTCCTTTGTGTTTCCTTAACACTATCTATTTCCCCCATCACATACACTAAAAAGATTATCTTTGGTGCATCCGTATTTACACAGCAGTGTTAAATTTGGGCTGCCCTCTGCCCCGCCTCCATCCCCCAGGCTCTTTTCCCTCCTCGCGGGGTCCCCAACCTTAGGCTTTAGCTCAGGCCCCACCCTACTCCCTGGTTGGCTGTTGGGTGGGAGGCTCGTTTCTGCCATCCCTATTGGTCGCCCAGGGGGAGGCGCGTCTCCCATCTTCTGATAGGTCGCGCCGCGGAGAGTCTCTCGGGTTTGCGGCGCAGCTGTCATTTCCGGGGTAAGATGGCTGCAGTCCGTATGCTGAGAACCTGGAGCAGGAATGCGGGGAAGCTGGTAAGCGGGTTTGGGCAGATCTGAGGCCGGGAAGGAGTGATTTGTCCGGAGTCTTCCAGGAGTGGTGTGTTTCTTTCTCCTCCGGTGCCAGGCGTCCAGGGCATGCGTGATGGAGAGGTGAAGGGATGCATGCAAAATAAAGGGCAGAGAACGGAGCGAGTCGACTAGTCTGGAGTGGAGACCCACTCCCTGCCCTTACCTGGAAGCGCTTCTGCAGCGACTCAGCCGTCCTCCTGCTTCATCTGTACACCGAGGCCCAGCTGGAGTTTCATTGAGCCCCTTCCAGATGCCAGGCATTGGTGATAGGCGCTGTGGATCCAGAGATATATTCGTTTAGCATTTATTGCGTACCCACAGTATGCCAAACACTGGTAACACGACCCCTGCCCTCAAGGAATTTACAGTGTGTAGAGGAAGAGGCCGTTCAAGTTATAGAATATCACCGGGGGGCCCTGCTTCCGAATAACTGAGCGGCTTGTGTTTCACTCTTTTGGCTTGTACTTCTACGTCCGCACCACATACCATTCCTACCCTTTTGTCACCAAGGCTGTGACCCACCACCGTCTCCCCTGCACTTCCCTCACTTTCTCCCAGTCTTAGCACCAAGCACTGACACATCCCGGTAATGATATTATTTCACCCTATTTGCTTAGTGTTTCTTCTTCCTGCCCCCTCTCCCTTTCCCTAGATGTTCCTGCCTTGGTGACCCCGATCTTACAAAAACTTTAAAGAGCCTGCTATGTACCAGGTACTGTGTTAGGCACTGGAGATACAAATATGAAATAGACATCATATCTTCCTTCTCAAGAGATTACAACCTTGTGGTGGAGGACAAAGGAGAGGGAGACAGATATTAAGAAATTACAAGCCAGCATGAGAAGTACTGTGATGGAACAAGTGCCTAGAACTACAGGAACACACAGGAGTAGACACCTATGGCGGACTTGGGGGTCAGAGGAGTTCCCAGAGGATACTGTATGACTTGAGATTTAAGAAGGATAAGTAAGAGATAACCAGGAGAAGAGAGCTCTTCTCAGCAACACTTACATATATTGGTCTCTCTTCTTTCTAGAGCTTTCCATTCTTGCTTTCTGTGACACCAGTCTCCCAATATTATTCTTTCTTCATATTTGGCCACTTCATCCTAATATCCTCTTTCCCTACCCACCTTTTAAATATTGCTCTTTCTAAAGGGCTCTGACTTTGACCCTCTGCACTTTTCCCACTTTCTGGGTTATCCCATCCACTCTTTGGATATAGTTACCATCTATGCTGATGAGTTCAAAAGTTCCCCAGTCTTCCAACCAGGTCTACTCCAAACCCATATATCCTACTGTCCTGGAAGTCTCCAGTTTCATATGTATGTGATGTTTTCCAGCTGCAATTAAAAACCCAGCCAATAAACAGGAAATCATCCGTGCATACAGAGCATCCCCAATTAGATGTCAGCTCGCGTTCAGTGGCTTACGATTATCAATGTCGTCATTTCCCTAGTAGTTCATTTGTCCTTTTCCTACTGTTTACAAGAGGGCTGCTACAACTTCTTATTTTATGTTCAAGGCAGGAAGGAGGAAGAGGACGAGGTTCCAGTCTCATTGACCAGAACAGTGTTACATGGCCACTGCTAGCACAAGGGAGCTTAGAAACACTTGTGTGTTTTGTTTGTTT